CCATTAACATTAACACTAGATATTTATATTGCATTCCGGTGAAAGGGAAAACAGAACAGGAAACAAGAAGAGCTATTCAATACTTACTAGATCATGAAAGAGTAGATAATATACAGGGGTGATGGTGATAAAGGATTTCAGGCAGCTATGACTCATTATTTCCCACAAATTAATTTTTACTTTTCATCCTCTCCATATACGTTTCATAATAAAATAGTTGATGCGGTAATGAGAACTCTTAGAGATGCGTTAGGGGTTAACGGTCAGATATACTGGGATGGAAATCATGACTCCATCATACAGCAGTTAGTATATTATTACAATAATACATGGCATAGAACTATAAACATGAAACCGGTGGAAATGAAAAATGATATTTCAAAAGAATGGGAATATATTAGAAAGCAAATGGAAAAAGTTAAATGATGTTAAACGTGAACAAATTAATTCGGGGCTCATGAATTTTAAACAAGGAAATAAAGTTTTAATTCATCTCGATTATGGAAAAACTGATAAATCAATGACAAAAAGAAGACGAAGATTTGACACAATAGCTGAATTTGTTAGATATATTAACGGCAATGCATTAGTTGAAGTTGACAATAAATTAATAGAAATTCCGATTTATTTTATTACTCCATTATATTTAAATAATATTTAATTTTTTTTATTTCGTAAGAAATGAGTGACAACAAAGCAGTCAAGAGTCCAGACAATGAATATAAAAAGAAACTAAACAGAATTAAATCAAAAATATGCTATTACAAAAAGAAGTCGCAATGCGGTGGGGTTGAAAACGATAAAGAAATAATCGAAAAATTAGAAACTTACCGTTCAATCATTAAACTGAGTGAAGCAAAAATAAAAGAATTTAATAGAATAAATAAATTGGTTGGAAGAGATGAATTTAATAAAGATGAATTTTTAAACTCTATCCAAATTTAATTTTTATTCCTCTTCGACAACATCTCTCTTTCCATCATTACTGCATAACCACATTTTCTCAATTTTAGTGGTTTGTTATTTTTAACATGTTCTTGCATCATTTTTATCATTTCCTCCCTTGTTATGATTCGTGGTAAATTTTGAGCTTGTGGGGTATTCATTTATGATAAAAATAAAAATTTAAATTATGCCGTTCTAAAGTTTGTGACAACATGACATTTTGACAACAACATGGGTTATTCAATAATTAATTATTTTTGAAGAACTGAAGGGGTCACCAGGTCACCAGGTCATTTCACTTCTCTGAAAAAATGAGACAACATGACATTTTGACAACAACATGGGTTATTCAATAATTAATTATTTTTGAAGAACTGAAGGGGTCACCAGGTCACCAGGTCACCAGGTCATTTCACTTCTTTTAAAAAATGAGACAACATGACATTTTGACAACAACATGGGTTATTCAATAATTAATTATTTTTGAAGAACTGAAGGGGTCACCAGGTCACCAGGTCACCAGGTCATTTCACTTCTTTTAAAAAATGAGACAACATGACATTTTGACAACACAGGTACGAAAAGAGGAAGGCAAAAATAAATTCCAATCATACTTTATAAAGCTTCATTTACAGGTATTTCATCGTCAGTAAATGAATCCTCATTATCGTTTGGTTCAACCTGTTTATATAATCCTTTCATTTCTTCTTTCAAAACATAACACCATGTTTGTTTACCATCTATTCTTACCTGTTTCCTATCACATTTATCCTTAATACTCATTTGAAAGTTTTTGTCTTTCATGTCTGATGGTTTGCAGAATAGAGCATTTTTACACGTCATACCTGCACATAATTCATCATAATGTGTATTTATCCATTCATCTAAAGGATTTGTTGATAACTCGATTAAATCTTGTTTGGCTTCAGTCATCGGAATGATTCGTACATTAAATGATGAAAGGTCATATTGCATAAAATATGTTAAAAGGTTATCATAAAATTCCTTTGTGCATGAATCCATTAAATTCTTGAAGTAATCAAATTGACCCTTGAATTTACCATTAACTCTTAAAACTACGTATCTTCTGTCTCCAACTTCAATTTTGACAGGGTAAACGTTATTAGTTACGAAAATGAAGTTTGCAACATTCTGAGCAGTTCTTCTGGGTTGATTCTTTTCATTAATTCTAATCTCATTGTCCGTAATAATTGATTTCAAAGCGTTGAAGTTTGCGAGTCTGTCTTCACCTACATTCTTGAGTTCATTAAGTACAAGAAACATTTTATTCTCAACTACTGAGTTGAAATTACCCGTTAGCTCACTTATTTCAGTAATGTTTTTACATGAATAACCAGCGAGAAGTTCAGAAATAATGTCTGTAAATCTGTTTTTACCTGTTCCCTGAAGTCCTTTCAAAATAATTGCTGTTTCATTCTTGATTCCAGGATGTTGAATCATTGATGCAATCCAGCCGAGAAGGTATTTATACACTTCATCGTTATTATCACAAATGGCTTCTTTAATGAAATTCATAAACATCTCAATTTTTGAGTAATCTACTTTTTCGAGAATGTTGTATTTATAACCCTGAAACGTTGAGAAAACATCGGGGGAATCAGATTTAAAGCAAACACCCTTAACGGTTAATGAGGATAATTGATTTAGTAGTACATCCCATGCTGTTATTGTTTTACCTTCTTCTTTAAATAATTTAATCATTTTAAGTGACTCTTTCATGTTTGACTGAAGAACAAATGATATTTGATTCATTTTGTCATGAATATTATAGTCCTTTTGAATGAAGTATTTGTTTCCACAATCTACAAAACGGATGACACGTGATAAATCCTCAATTACTTCAGAACTGTTTTTATACTGATGATTTTCAGACTTGCGTCTAATATCTGTTATCAAAAACGAGTCATCAAGTTTTATATCAAATGTTATTTTTGGCTTACGTAATAAAGGTAAAACATATTCATCATAATATTCCTTTTGATAAAGTTTTAGAATCTTCACCAAAACAAATGGAGAAGTCATTAAATGTGCATATCTACTACGTGCTTTTTCAAAATTACTTTTTGCATTTTCAGTTAAACTGCAGAAATTATAAACGTTATCGTATGCTTCATTAATTAAATGATCCGGTAACGAATTAATAGCTTGAAACAGTGTGAATAATGTTATTTCTTTTTCTAAATTCATGTTTCCACCATCATTATGTACTTCAAAATCACAGATGCCATCAACTATGCTCTGAGCTAGTTTATCGTCAATGTTTACATCTTTGTTTTCATTCATTATACTCTTTATTTCTTCGCTCTTCTGTTCAACTCTTACCTTAATATTCAAATCATTTAATATATCATTCACTGTTCTGGTTAATGTTGAATCATAACTTCCACGAATGAATGAGTATGTAGTGATTGGTTCTGATGCATTCTTGCGAACTCTTGAATCAGCCATGACTACTAAAGAACGTTTTGAATCATCCATAGAAGTCATTATGTCAATATCATAATCATTGCAGGAATAACATTTAATCATTCTGTTCGAAACTGCATAGAAGAAATTAGTGTTGCAATAAATGTGAAGACCTCCTGATGCGGTTTTAACGATAACATCTTTATCCGAAAGTTTTGATAAAATGTCTTTTCTAACTGTTTCTTTAAGTTCATCATTGTACGATTTATTGATATCAACATCTATAATCGTTAAATTTGAAATTTTATTTACTAATAAAGCTGTACCAGTTTTCCTTCCTCTTCCTCCATCATGTTTGAGGTAGTTATGTAAATCAATCATGTTTTCACCAATTCTTTCGTTGAGGGTTTTAGTTTCTGCACAACTAATTCCGCAACTAATGAATCAATAACTTTTTCATCAGAAACGATAAAGTTGCTGTTGTTGTTTGTTGCTGTCATTTATATAGGAATAAAAAAATAAAAATAATTTTAAAACTAACTTTATTTTTGGACTGCATCAAATTTTCTGTGATGTTGTCAAAATGTCATGTTGTCTCATTTTTTCAGAGAAGTGAAATGACCTGGTGACCTGGTGACCCCTTCAGTTCTTCAAAAATAAGTCATAACTGCCTTCCTCCTGTGATGTTGTCAAAATGTCATGTTGTCTCATTTTTTCAGAGAAGTGAAATGACCTGGTGACCTGGTGACCTGGTGACCCCTTCAGTTCTTCAAAAATAAGTCATAACTGCTTCCTCCTGTGATGTTGTCAAAATGTCATGTTGTCTCATTTTTTCAGAGAAGTGAAATGACCTGGTGACCTGGTGACCTGGTGACCCCTTCAGTTCTTCAAAAATAATTAATTATTGAATAACCTAAATCATTTACTCACAATATTTTTGTACAAAACGACCCCAAGCTTTTAACTTCTTTTCTGTAGTTCATCCATTACTTCATTACCTAATTAATTACAGACATAAAATATATTTAGTTCATTCGGTAAGCCTAAACCCTTTGGGTTAAGTGTGTTCATTGAACTCTATACCATGCGAATACAGTCATAAATGGCGGCATGTATTCTTTACTTTGTCCCGTTGTTTGTGTATATCCTGAAACGAAATGTGTATGGTTTCCTTCTCCCTGAGTGTCACTCCAGTAACAATTTATGGCAAACTTAACGTCGTCTTTAACATCATATCCTTTACCTTTTGTCATTCCTGACCAATCCAATATCTATGCTTATGCCAACCTGCTTGAGATGTGCTTAAATCTATGTAGTGACTATGTGCAGGTAAATTTTCACCTGAAATCGTTTTACTTCCCCCTGTTTCCTTTGAAGAGTTTGCACATACAAAAACCTGTCAACTATTTGTTCCCATGCACCAACACCAAACATTACTTGAGGACCTCTTGCATCCATAGATGTATAAATAGAACCTACTGGGTTCATTAAATCAAACATATGAGATATTATAGGATTGTCTCTTTTGAACTTAAAATATAGTGTAACTATTTCAGGTTTCTTCTGGTTTGTGTCAGAATATTTTTTATAATATAATCTTATGTTTTCAGGGTAGGTAAAATCTTGACTATAATATTTATTTCTGTCATCTGTATAATAATATACTATTCTCGTTTTTTCTATTGCATTATATCTTTTATATCTATAATAATCTAAATATAATGTTAACTTTTGTTCATCTACATGTGGTGTTCTGACATCATCTCCATAGTCATAATAATATGGTGCTGGAGCTGGGTCAGGCAATGTCATATCTGCCATTTCATAAACTCTTAAATATTTCTTTTGTTCGTCTCCATATAAGTTTAAGTAGCAGTTGTTGTCTAATGGAACTTTAACTTGTGTGCCATCATTCTTTTTATAACTTACATACATTTCATTGTTATTTTTCGGAATGAGTTTCCACCGTATACCATTTTTTAAGGAGTGTACAAACTGCCATCTAAAATATTTATTTTCTTCATTGACAGAAAAGTCGCCAACAATAGTTTCAATATTTTTTGTTCCTATCAAACTTTGGTATATTTCGTTAACATATTCCTTATCTGCTTTCTTCCCTAACTCATCATTAACATATGTTTTATCCGCTTTAAGGTCTAAACATCCTGAAACCCATCCTGTATCAGCTTTAGTTTTTAAAATCTTTGATGTCCATTCATGATACCATTCAACCCTTTCTTTAATTTCTTTATCTTTTTCATCAACGTAAACCAAATTTGCCTTCTTCCCTAACTCACTATCCACATATTCCTTATCTGCTTTCTTCCCTAACTCATCATTAACATATGTTTTATCCGCTTTAAGGTCTAAACATCCTGAAACCCATCCTGTATCAGCTTTAGTTTTTAAAATCTTTGATGTCCATTCATGATACCATTTAACCATTTCTTTAATTTCATTATCTTTTTCATCAACGTAAACCAAATTTGCCTTCTTCCCTAACTCACTATCCACATATTCCTTATCTGCTTTCTCCATTATGTCATTTAGGAAACCTTTTATGAATTCCTCATTTAAATTAAATCTTCCAATCTTCAAAACTTTAGGAAATGCATTTAATGCGTAATATCTCTGTTCTTCTGGTGGAATTGATGTTATATCATCTGTTATTCCTTTAATTTTTGAATTCATAAATAAAATTTCTTTTATATTTGATATCACTGCACCACCTTTGCAAACGAATTCGAAATGTTCATTTTTCAATACTATCTCCAAATCTCCATATTTCAACCTTTGCGTTTGTTCTGCCGTCTTTGAATTATATGCATATATGGCGTATGTAATGGTCTGAGGGACCTGGGTGCTTTGTGCCTTAAGTTGTTGTGGTTGCTGTTGTTTAATCATTTATTATGATTTAAAAATAAATATTTAATCCGGTATCTCATCACCTATTTTTTCTATTTGAAATTGCCATAATATTTCATTCATGAATTCTAAATCACAATCAAATAGGTCAGTTACTCTAAATTTAATATTTGATAAATCTTTTGAATGAAGAATAAATGAATTCCCAGATAATTGAAACGGATATGATAAAGAAAATATGTTTAAGTTGATGGATAAAATGTTTTGTATTGATGGGTAAGAGTTATGGTCTAATGTTTGATGTGAAAATCTCATTGGGGTATTAACTTTATCACATTTGATTAAAATGAAATTGGAACCAGTGTCAGAATACAAAACATCCCCAACATCTTTTTCAAAATTTAATATCCCCAACAATGAACGAAGATGAGGAGTACAAAATTTAATTTTCAGCGGGAATTTAATAAGGTTATTTATTTCATCAAGTTCAAAAAGTTTATCAGGTTTTGATTTAAAATTTTCTTCATACCATACGATAAATGATTCATTTAAATAACTTAAAATCATGTTAATATCCCATTTCGTTATCACATTATTTATATACATATCATACGTTTTTTCATGGTCATCTTTAATAAATGATATATAATCTGAAGGGTCTAAAAGAATGGGATTAAATTTACCACTCACAGAAACGAGAGTAACATTATAAATTCCGCTAACTGTTAAATTTAATTCACAGTTATTATTCGAAATAATATTGATAATTGACATTTTTATTACGATTAAAAATATGGTAAAGCGTTATTTTCCAGTGATAAATAAAACTAGGATAAGATTACCTCAAGAATTCATAAATTCAACGAATAAGAAATTCATTCATGTTATAAATTTTAGTGTTTTCAGAAAATATGAGTCGATGTCATATTCATCAACAGGTTATATTTCATTTCATTCAAATTTAGTTCAATCAAACCCATATAATGACCATTTCATAAGATTTTCAGATGGTATTAAAAATGTAATTGATAGATTAAAATATGAACAGATTGACAATATCGAATTTTTGGAATTTTGGTTTAAATATCCTGATGGAAAAAAGATTGAAGTTAAAGATAAAGCTGATACTATAACAAAAACAATTACAATGACCGATCCAGATAGTGGGGAACAAAAAGAAATAAAACAAACGATAGAAACTGGTGAAAGGTCAATTATTATTGATTATGATTCAAAGGATTATTATTCAATAATGTTAATGCTTGAATATTAAATGGCCTTAACAAAGAATTTTTCAAGTGATATTTTATATTCATCAACTATTTTATTATAAATATCATTATATGTTAAATGAAGTTCAGTTGTTGTTCCGTTCTTTGATATCTTAATTGTGCTAATATCCTTTATAGGATTTATTTTTGCAACTGTTCCGCAGCATGAAACCTCATCATCTATGAAAAATTGAATCTTAACGTCTGAATCTTGAACATCACAAAGAATGGCGATAATGTGAATTAATGATTCATAAGGTAAAATAATTAAACCGGATTGATCAATTAAATTTATTATTGAATCATAATTATCAGTTATTATATCACGGTAAATTTTCATTAATTCAGAATTAATGTCTATTTTATATGGCGCATTGCGACTGGAATCGTAGATTCCTGGGTTCTCGATGTTTGATGAAAGAGGTGGGGGGTATGTTGGATAAGTGGGAATTTCAACAGGTTCTTTACCGGGTTCAGATAAAATGATTGGGTCTCCATTCTCATGGTTTTCTTTATTTTCCTCCTCCTTTTTCGGTAAGTCACGAGTTAATAAATTTGGTTGAGTTGCTGACCTTGTTAATTCAGGACTAACATTAACTTTAACATTTTGAATAATTCGTGATTTATCATCATTTACGTTATAACCAACCGTAATCTCTGCTTTTGCGTTAGTGTTCTTTTGACTAGTGAAACGTCTTCTCATTTATAATCGAATAAAAAAAGAAAAATATATTTAAAGTTTTATTTAGTTGTTACGGTAATATCCCAAGGTTCATCCTTGTTTGCTTATACTTTCTTTGTAACTGCACCAATTATGTTATTGATATTGCTTTGAGTTTCTTCCAGTCTTATTTTATCATTTACAATATCTTTAATCATTTCATTACATGCATTCTTAAAACTATCTGATTTTTCTAATTTACGTCTATCACTTTCTTTAATTAAATCAAAGTTATAACCTTGTTGAGAATAAAGTGGTTTCTTTATCAATTCCTTGAACGCTTCTGAAAGTGAAGATGAAGAAATTCTTGCCACTTGAATTGGTTTAAATTCTGCTTTCATTGCTTCTTTCTGTTCATTGAACACTGGATCGAATAAAGCAACTTTAAAGAATTTCTTAGCTGGAATTTCAGGTCTAATATAGGGTGTCCAAAGGTGTGTTTAGCACAAACCTGAATACTGCGAATAGAAATAAACAAGTTACATATATATAAAGTTTATTTAAATATAATCACCATTGGATTCAATCACGCGTTCGCAGCGATCGATCCAGGCTTGAAAGACACGCTTTAAATCATCATGAGAAAATTGCTCAAATTGCTCTCTTACAAAATTTTCAAGATCATCTGGACTCGCGAATTCGCGTCCTTCAGCTCTCTTTTTTAGCGTGCCGAATAAATAAAAGTCAGAGGGTGCAATATCAGGTGAATAAATTGGGTTTGGAACAACTTTGACATTGTTTTCCACCAAGTAATTCATTACCTTATGACTTTTGTGAACTCTTGAATTATCAAAATGAATTGCAAACTTTTGTTTTTGTTGTTTGGATTTCTCAAACTCATCAGAATTGATAATTTGAGTAAGAACATTGTCAATTAGATACTGAGCATTCATCGTATTAGGTTTTTGAAGAATATCAATTGCGATGATGCCATTCACGCCCCAAAAAACCGACAACATCATCATTGGTGTGTCAATTTTTTTCTTCGGGAATGTTTGCGGATTTTCATCCTTCGGGATCCACATGATTTTGGCTTCTGTTGCATATTGAAACCAAGACTTGTCTCCTGTTACTAAAAAGCGAAACTTCTTGGATTGATACGCACCCAATATAGAGAGGAGCTCTTTCGAAGATTGGACTCTAGATTTTTTTTAAACTGAATTAAGGTTGTGCGGAACCCAACGTGTATACGCTAGTTTGTAGTTCAAATAATTGTGCAGATAATAACTGACTGTTGTACGTGGTATCTTTGTCATCTCCTCTATCCTTCTGAGTGATGCTCTTGGGTCTTCATCTAGCGCTTGAAGAATTGCTTTGATTTTTCTTTGATCCGGCGATTTTTTGTCAATTTTTATGATGGGCGCCTTTTTGTTCATGAAGTGATACATCCTAACATGATACGTTACAGTGGAATAGCTAGGAGCATCCATACCGAAGCATTTTACCAATGTCTCGTAGATTTTTTTACAGTCTTTGCATTTTTTTGCAAGAGCGAGGATGTTTTCTTTATGATTCATTAAAAAAATGAAAAAAATCCCGCCAAAATTTCCCGCGAAACCGCCTCTTGTCTCAAAATTCATTTTATATCCCGGCATGGCGCCAAAATACAACATACTCATCATATACATATATTCATATTTTTTATTATATATTTATAACCAGCATATATCTCCTTTAATAGTCTCATATAGAGCGCTGTGCTAAACGCACCTTTGGACACCCTATATTTGCATATTGACCATCAAACTGATTAACATATCGTGGTAATCCATCCGGTCCCTCTTCAACAGCATTTAATTCTTCATTGAAATAAGAATATGGAATAAGATGGTATGAATACATTGGACCATTTTCACCTTCTCCAATGTATTGTTTAACAGCTTTTCCATTTTCATCAAATTGCATAGGATAACATTCATTATATGCTTTACGTTTAGGATAATCAGATACAGTTAATTTATAACCATTTATGACTTTAATATTACCTTGACCATCAGTAACGAAAACTTCATTTATACCATCAGGTTTTCCATTTGGTCCTGTAATGTCTGCTTCATGTGCTTCCCAATTTGGACCATGACGTTTGGCATATGCTTGAGCTTCTGGTAATGTTAAAACGTTTCTCATTTGTTTAACATCCTTTTGAAGACCGGCAACAATGTGGACTAATTCTTTCATTCCATCTGGAACTTTCATAGTTCTATTATAATATGCACCCTTTTTGTTTGTCCCTTGTTTTAATGGAACCTGTAGAAGATTTGCTATTTCTGTCATGTTTAATTATAAATAAAAAATAAAAATTAATTATAAAAAGTTAATCAAATTTAACACCTCCTTTATTTAAATCAACTATTATTTTTCCATGTTCACCTAATTGCTGATATTGTGTGTAAAGTTCATTAATGCTCATTGGTAAATTCACTTGATAAAGCATAACGTTCAACTGTTGACGACTAAAACCACTGAAAATGAAAAGGGTGGACAGGTTTGATTTAATGTTTGTGCTTAATGCTTTGAAATATTGAACAGCCATAAAGAATGAACACTGAATGTGTCGACATTGAGTTAATAACTGATTAAAATATGATTTCTCATTTGTTATTAGTTTTGATTTCACGGCATCATCTAGAAAAATTAGTGAATGCAAAAATTCTCTATCAAAATTTGAAATAGAAAGTGTTTCAAATAATTCATCCCGTTGTTTATCAATAATTTTATCCTCTAATCCTTGCTTCTTGATTGTATTATATAATTCTTTATACATTAAAAAGTTTTTTAAATAATCTTCTGCTTCTTCTTGTGATAAATAAATAATTGGAATTTTGATTAAATGCTTTAAAGATTCAAATGTATCATCTGAAGGTGAACCTGAACGGTTGATATAAATTAACATATGTGAATGGGGGGAAGTGTTAGCAATAATGATAATTTGTTTTAATATCGTTAATGTTTTACCTTTATTTTGTTTACCAATTGCTGCAGTGATTGAATTTAAGTAACATTCAGAATATGGAATTTTCATTAATTTTTCCTTAGATAGAGCATTTCTATTATCACTCAATGCTTCATTAATCATATCATCTACGTATGTATTATATACATCTGTTAATTCTTCAGAATTTAAATTCATTTAATCAAAAATAAATTTATAATTTTAAACATTTCTATTCATCAATATTTCATCATATGAACTTCTATACTGTGGTGGTGTACCTGTTGGATGATATTTCAAACCTTCATCCGGTGTCCATGTCCAATACGTAGTCCTAGTAAACCAAACCTGAGGAGGATTTGTCACTTTTGAACAGTAAGTGTCATTTTCACCTTGAATGATTGGATAAGCTTTCACTTGTACTGTAACTTGTGAGTTGAAAGTTTCTAATCCATCAAAGAATATACCCGCTCCATCACGTTGAACTGGAATAGTGCATAAGAATGAAGTTTGGTCTTTCCATGTTCTAGCTAATGGCGTGCCATTATCATCATTCAGTGGTCTAGTTAATGAGTCCTCGTATTCTTCTGTGCATTCATTCACTCCATCTAAATCAGAAGCTTGAAGCATACGTGTAAAGAATATGTCACCCACTGTGGTCATCGCTTGATCGGGGAAGTTTCTGGAATCTATAGTGACCTGAAGACCTCGAAGCATTGGATTTTCTAAAACTGTTCTTTGCATTGCATTCTTTGGAAATGTTAACACAACATCTGTAACATTATGAAGAGCGTATGAGAAATCTGAGCTAATACCTTCAGGAGTGATGCAACCTCCATTTAGTGAACGAACGTCAATATGTTGAGCTGGAATCATGAATGGATCTTCCTTACTAAATAAACGTGGTATTGCTTTAACTGATTCTTCAATTAAACCGTATCCTGGTGTAATGCATTTATCCTCTAAAACTTCCATCTTTGTGCATGAAATAATAACGTCATCAACTGTTGCGTCAGCAGATGTAGCGGCTAAGCTTGTAATTAATTTGGCAGGAAGTCCGATTTGTTGGAATTTGCGATCATATTTATAAACATGATTCATAATCTTTTCATAATTTTCATCAGTTATCTTTTCATAAACGTAATTTTGTAAATCAGCAACTCTTAACGGGTCAACCTGACAAAATACTAAAGTATCCCTGAAAACATAATATTTAAGAATGATTTCACCAAATGATTTAGGATAATCATCGAACGCCTGAAATGCTAACAAATCGTTTACCGGAATAATCATATCAAAAGTGATATCAACTTCTTCATTTGCTTTCTTGAAAACTTCTGAAGGGTCAATATATTTACCACATACTGAGTTATCATATTTTTGAACATTATTATATAACGAATGAACAAACTTTTTAACTTTCCTTTCTGATTTTGGTTTATGTTGCAAATGCGAAAGATTCACGGGCGCAATCCATCTGAAGATAACCGGCATCACCTCTTTCGGTTTCTACTTCTAATTGTTTAAAGCTTTGATTTGATGATTTGTAACCAACGAATAAACGCATGCATTTAAAAGCGGCATCACATGTGAAAGCTTTATTTGAAACTAGGGTTGCTTTAACTTTGCGTTTAATATATGTGTCACCTAATTGATTCACATCATGAGCCGGATTTGTAATTCTTAAATGAGTTTGTTTATCATCAAAATATGGAGCATCAGAGTCATAGCATGAACTTTCAAGTTCTCTATAATATCTTCTACCGTCATTCTTTGCGAATATTTCATTTATCTTTTCAAATGAATGAAACACATTTCCATTAATTGGTTTAGTGTTTGGCACCAAATAGTTAGTCGTCATTTATTATTAAATAAAAAATCAAAATTAAAAGATGAAAATGAATTTTTAATTTTAATGAAATAATCAACTATGGCTGCAGGTATATTTAAGAAACTGTGGGATAAAGTAAAAAGAGGAGCGCATAAAGTTTGGGAAACAATGAAGAAAGGAGCAAATTGGATATTTAAGAATATAAGAAGCAATTAGTGACGTTGCTGAATCAATAACACCAAAAGCTGCCCCAATAAGAGAAATATTAAATAAAGGAGAAAAAGTTTATCAAAGACTACAACCGATACTAAGATAAAAATAATATTTATTTTATTTTTCCACTATTTACCTCCTATTTTATTAAGTATTCCTTCAGCAATTCCACCAATTGCGTTACCTGCTTGTGCTCCCATCGCCGGATTACCTGCTTTAGTACCTAATACTCCACCTATGATAGTTCCTGCCGTTTTCGCTACTGGTGCCAAAAAGTTTGCAACAGGTTTAATAACCTTTTTATAAACCCAACCCGCAGCTTTCTTAATTCCATCCCATAATTTTTTAAAGAATCCTGCCGCCATTTCTGATTTAATATTAATTAAAAAATATATTTCATCACTTATATTCTAATTTTTATTTAATGATAAATGAAACCGATTTTAAAAATAAATGAAACAGAGGAGGAAGAAATAAATGAAAGTGAAAATGTTCAACAAAAAATAAACGTTGTTAAACCAATTACTGAAATAAAAATTTTTAAATCTGTTGAAGAATTTAATGACTATTATGCTAATAATAAAAAATTATTTGAAGAATTGACAACATGTAAATTGAATAAAATGTTTAAAGTTGATGGATTCAAATTTCAAAAATAAAAGGAGTGGTTAGTTTGAAATCTATTCCTCAATCAAGAATCACCTCATTAATGAAAATAGATGATTTAACAAAAAGAATAGAAGAGATTGAAGAAAGAATGAATCAAATAATTGATTTCATAAATTCAAATAATCATTAGCTTCTTAAAGTTCAATGTTGATTCTGAGACATTAATTTTTAAAGTTTATTTTTCATTCATGAGGTCTTTGATTATGACTCCATTGATTCCATTCAGGATTTAAACAATGTTTAATTAATCGCGGAATATCTGACATCATCTATATATAGCTTCTTTTATAAAAGATGAAAAATAAATTATTTTAAAATTAATGTTAATTTTTTTAAAAAAATTTATTTCATTATGTATGGGTTGAGTGTAAATGTCTTACAATTTTGAAAATTTTTTAAATCTTGATTTATTCAAAAACGTAAGAATCAAAACCGTCAGAATCATACATTTTTTACTTCATATGTTAAAAAAAATGATACAAAATCGTTCTATATTGTATGAATTCTTACGTTTACAAAAAAAGTCACACACCCCGCACTCATATACTACTTTCCCGAAAAAATGTTACAGCACAATTTAATGTCTTTTCCACTCAAGTTATTATTTGTAAATATAAATCATTAGGTTATTTAAAATACAGGTTTAATCAAATTTCAATTCCATTTTCCATTGGAGATCTTCATGATAGATAAACCTTATTAGGCTAGATATCAATTATTATCGATAAGGAAACCAATCGATAACAGATGCTTCGGATTGGTAACCGTTCTTTCAAAATCTAAAAAAAAATTTGAGTAAATTTTATTATAAATAAATGATCTGATATCTTTTTATAATTCAATGTAGATTCAATGTTTTTTCCAAAATCCTTCAAAAATTTTTATTTGAAATTTTGTAATAAATGATCCTCTAGGTATAAACTTTGTGATTCATTGTAGACAATAACCGCTAGTAAAATTTATTTGATTCTCAAATTTTTATATTTCTGAAATTCCGAAAGAACAAGGCATCACAGACAAATGATACGTCATTTTTTTAACTTCCAATTAACCTCAACTCTCAAAATATTTTTTTCTGAAAAATCTGAATTCGTAAGACAAATTGTGATATTTACAAACTTAATATCCAAGATATTTTTGCTCTAGTCACATGTGTAGCTTGTGAATATCATAAAATGACCTAAATTGAATATCGTTCATAACAATACAATTTTTCTCATTCACAAATTCATGAATTTGTAGTTTATAAATCTTTCATATTCATTTAGTTAAATTACAAAAGAAATTATTGTCATTTTTTTAAATTGAGTTTTCTTCTTTTTCTCAGTCAATTTAATATAAATCACCCCCAAGAGCTGGAAAACAAGCCAAGCTTCATATCTGAACAAAATGAAGATCCAATTAGTGAAAGTGATACGAAATTTAATCGAGATATTGTCTTTGTTAACGTATCGCATTCATCTTCTTTAGGACAAGAGTACTTTTATAGTTCAGTTACCATTGACAACGCTAGCTTTACGAATTGTTTTGCATTTGGGAAAGAATACACAGGCGCTTGTGGTGGAGCTATTAACTTAGCTTATTCAATGTGTGTCATTAAACAAGCAAATTTTGAACAAAATCAAGCTGCTGATGGAGGCGCCATTTGCTTCTTTCGTTCAAACTCATATCTTGAAGGTGATCAATCAGATTACAAATTTTATTTGAATAAAGCATTCAGATCCGGTGGCGCTATCTTTTGTGAAGGATTTACTTTACCCGATCAAAATATTAATAAATATAATTTGTTTATATTCGATTACGCATTCACAAATAATACTGCATACCAGACAGGATGTGCTATTGCTATTGAGAGTGATTCAGAAATTTATTTCGAAAATCTAATTTTTCGATACAATCAAGCTGGTGACCAAGGTGGTGCCATAGCTTGTTATAATTCCAAGTTAAGCGTCTTTAAATGTGCTATTCAAGCAAACATTGCTGGAAAAGGCCTTATTAGAGAAGATACTTTGAAATTATCAGCAATGGAAGGTAATTTTGCCCTTAGATTTAGAGGTAGAGGTTGTGGTGGTATTTCATTCATATCCACTGAAAAATCGCGTCAATTTATTTCTCAAGAAAACTGTTTTTATAAAAATAGGATGTCCAATGGCTTTACAAAAGCAATTGGATATCCTGAAGGAGAAGATGCAGGTAACGACTACATGCTTGAAGATAAAGTTTACTGGCAATCATACAAAGACGTAGTCGAAGATCCGAAAGCAGCATACGTATTTATCGGAAATACTGATAATTTCACGAAACAAATTTTTCAACAGCTGAACTACCAAAATACAGAAAACCTCGATGATAAATGTAAAACAAATGGTTTTGAAGGAGTCGAGACCGCAACCCATGCAACAAAAGATACTACATTTACCACAAGTTCTAACAATGATAATGGCCAAACAAGTTCCGTCCCTAATCCTACTAATTTTGCATATTTTGCCACTCCAATTTCACGCCTTCCTCAGAGAACAAAATTATCATTGAAAACGTATCCAACATCAAATGTTAATATTTGGAAAAACAGATCTACATATTCAGTTGCTGCAACATTCTTCAGAATACCCTTCTCAACAGTTTATTCTACAGCTTTTTCAACACCTCATTCAACAGCTCACTCAACCCCACATTCCACACCCTTCATAACACCTGTAAGATCGATTTCGCCACTTCCTGAAACACCCAGCCCAACAGATAATCCACTTACAACAAAGGAGGGATATTACTTCACATATATGAACACTGATACATCTCTTCTCACACTCAGCAATACAACTACGAATATTACAAGCACAATCACAACAGTTTTCACATTTATTTCGACAGCTATCAGAACTTATCAAGATAACACTGTTAAAATTGTTTACGACAAATCTATCACAACAATCGCCACAAATCTTGAATCCAAAGCAGATTATACGCTTTACTATCCATCATTTACTAAAACTTGGGCAGTTACTTATGCACAGGCACAATACACGACAAATACAACAGTGAAATATATGTCGTTTGTAACTAATATGAATGATGTATTATCAGCAACTTTTATTAGTACAAATAATTCAATAATTCAAGTTGACGAAAATTATACTGGTAATAATATTTGGGCTTACATAAGAATTAGTACAGCCACAGTAACTTATACACTTGAAGATAATACAAAATTAAAGCTAACAATGACAAATTATGCATATATTCTTTCAAATAATAACAGCTTTTCTGCAGGATATTATACATTCACATATGGGTCAAGTACCACACTTACTTCATCATTGAAAATTGGTTTTAATTCAAGCACATTTGTTCCTATTACTATTCCAACAGCAACTTTGCAAGAACAGAAATTTGATCCAAAAGATCCCGAAAAACTCAGAACAGATGCAACGAAATTAACATTAGTTCCACAAATTGCTGAAACAACAATATCTGGTACAAGTTATTTCTCTGGATATATAAGAGCTTCAACAAATACAATAACAATTGTAAACTATCCAATAATAACAACTCATTTCACATTTATTAATAATAAATATGAAATGACGCAATTTACAACTCTTGCTGAAACATTTTCAAACGTTTCAGAAGGTCAAACATTTGTCACGTATCTTTCGATTCAAACAATTTATCGCACTAATACAATTACATTTATTTATATTGATACAACTACAATTACTGGTACAAATGTTTACGCACTTAAAGAAACTGAATCTTCTTATTTTTCAATCAATCCAACTGGTACCACTTATGCAATTGTTAGTTCAAATCTCTCCACCTCAATAGAAGCTCTTCCAACTAATTTCACATTTAACAGTCCCGTATTCGCATGGACATCTACATTCTATCTTCCACCAAATGGAAACAATAGCAGTGTTATTTACACATTCACACAAATAATTTCAACATTAACTAGTGTTGTTACAATATTACATGTTCCTGAGCTTTCTTATGATGGAGTTAAAATTATCGAAAATACGAAAGTTATTACTGCTTCAAAAACAACAATTAAATCTCTCGCATATACAATCTCTACTTTCGATGAGTCGCAAATACCATCTTTAACATTTTCCATACCAAATTTCAGTATACCTTCCACCTTAACTACTGTTCCATCCTTAACTTATTCATCATTACACACTGTAACACAGAAAATAACATTCCATTACTCAACTTCCTTCTCAACTAAAACTATAACTAAGATCTGGATGAATATATCTGTCTATAAGTCGACATTTTTGGAAGATGGCAAATACGCATACACAGAAACAAACACAATTACTAAAGTAATAACTGGACTCGTTGGTCAAGTGACTATTTCAACTGTTATTAATACTTCATTTAGTGGAATGACGGAATTTGTTACAGAAAGTGGTTCAACAACATTAGTTTTAAAATAATTAAGGCATCTACTGTGACATTAGCAGAAGGACATTCATATGCTTACGCTAACACTTCAACTACTATATCGAGTACCATATTTATTTATACACTTACAACTTATGTGCAAAAATCTACAGCTACATATATTGAATATTCAACAAATGAATTCATGCATCGAATGCTTCAGTCCAAATTAACATCAACCCTTACATATACATTGACAAATGTAGTTTCCTCATATACCACAATTACCTATGCAATTGAAACAAATGAAATATATTATATTTCTGTTTCATCTACTCCAACTATGTTTCCGGTATATACAGAAACCGATTTTACAACCTATGATACAATCCCATCAACCTATCCATTACCAGAAAGCACCATTATTCTTCCACAGGATAAAACGAAGAATCTTCTAGATAGAACAAATACTTATGTACCAACGTTCGAGTCAAAAGAAACAATTGTTCATAAACCAATTCCATATCAATTAACACTTAATTCAAGTACACTCTATATGTACTCCACTGAAACAACGATTTACACTAGCACTTATACAGCAGATATAAATAGTTCAGTCATATTTAAATACACTGAAGTTACAACTTACACAGATACTATCATTTCATATAATCCAATCAATCATCAAGATGGGGAATTAAATGTTACAAGTTATTCATTCATAGATGTCAATACTACAACTAGAACAGTAGTATTCAATGTAAAGGAGACACAACTGGAAATTAAAACAATTTCATATAAACTTTTAAATAGCGTTTTAACAATTTCAAGTGCTGAAAATAATAGTATTAATACATATGTTTGGGATGCATCACAAGTAGCTTCTGGTGCCTTTTATTCAACCTATGCTTACTTTGATACAGAGACAGTCTTTGTAACAAAGAATAATGAAACATATTCTGGAACATGGACTTCTACTCTTGTTCTTACATTGTCAGCAACGAAAGCAATCACAGACACATTTGTACTTTATCCTTCTGCTTCACAAACTGTAGTTCCTTATAATTTTATATCAATATCAACAGATACATATACTGAATACATCATAGATGGAGCATCAAAGACTTCGGGATCTCAAATAGATATAATGCCAAGTCCAACTCCTCCACTCGGTTATGCGTGGGGCCTTTTAGAGTCCTATAAGACCAAATACACAAATACAATTGTCACTGAATATATTAAGACTTTCACTGCATTGAATCCTGGAGAAAATGTTCAAATGCCAACTAATGTTTCAACTAGTTCATTTATTTTAAGTTTATCGAATAATTCTGTTATTAAAATTGAAACTATGGTTCCAACTATATCAACAACAATATATATAAATACTGGTACTAAATTGACATTTGTTATGGGAGATACAATAACATATATAATGAAGGATACCAATACTTTCTTATCAACAATCATTAGTGGGACATTTAAATATGCTGATATTTCATTTACATCAAAAACTTCTACAATTCCAAAATATATTGAAACAACTATTTCATCAATTACAGTTACTTGGACATCATTTCCATTTAAGTTGACAGATATTCCTACTTACACACTAGTTCCATCAAGTATATACACAGTTATCAAATTACCAAATGAAACAAACATAACAACATTTACATACACTTTAGTAAACACAATCACAAGCCTCCGAACACAATTAACAGACGGATACACTATGTTATCAACTATTCAACAAATGACTGCAAGTACTATTATTCCTACTAATGGAAGTAAAAATACATATATAGTAAGTCTTACTCTTACTCCTGCACCGACACTAATAAAAACTCCAAGTTCAACACCAAGAAAACCAATTCCATTGAGAACGCTGGATCCAACGATGACTCCAAAACGACCAATACTGATCCAGGAACAGATTCAAGACTTACTTTAACTAAATCATTGACAGATACAGAAACAATAACATACACACAATCGACAACAAAAACTAAAACATTAACAACAACAGTTGTTGATGGTAAAACTTATAATATTAGTTACTTAACTGATTCAACTGTAAATACAACAACATATTCATCAACGAAGACAAATATTGATGTATTAACATACAAATCTGATGTTTCAGGTAAAGAATCAAGAACAATCACTGAAACACAAACACTTTCAAACACAACAATTGCTAAAGAAACACTTTCAATAACAAATACAACAACAATCCATCAATTAACTACTAAGAATACAACAACATTTACTATCTCTTTGACTTACATTGTTACACAAACATATGTTTCAACAAATGTAGAAACAATATTATTTATTGCAGATGAAGAATATGGAAAGTCAAAACTTAATTCCGGAACAATTATTCTTATTTGTACTATAGTTCTTGCAGCCATATTTGTTTTATGTTTTATTGGTTATACATTGTATCGTAAGGTTCACCAAGCAAGTTCATCGGGCACAAAAGATGGCTCAGATTCACCTGAAAAAACGAATTTGTTTGGAGGAGAAGGAAAAACTGAGTTTTCAATAATGGAAATGGATTCAGATATTGATCAACCAATTGTTACAATAGATAGTGATCCAGAAAACGTTAAATCTGACGAAGATGAGAATTATTTAAACGTGGACTTTTAATTATTAATTTACTTTGTTTTCAATGAAGTAAACTTGATTTTTATTTATTAACTATTTATTATAATGAAGGATTTATTATATAAAAGTTTCTTCATATCAGTAATTTATATCTTAATAAACCATCTGTATCATCACACTGTTAAACATTGTTTTATTCGCCTCAACCTCACTTATTGGCTTTTTTAGTTGGACTTACCTAATATTAATATTCTAACTTTCATTTTCTGCTTCCATGTAAATAAATGTTAGCTGTGGAAAATATTGCTCAGTTTTTCTTCTTATTTATGAGCAATTATCTTTCATAACAATAAGGCTGATAAATGTGTCTCTGTAATATATGCTGATGAGTTGCTAACTATATTTCCGGGCAACCTTTACTAAACCCCTATTTTTATACAATCCAACTTTTTTTGTCTGTTTGTGAGTACCTTTTTTTTAATGAATTTTATTTGAAAGAAATTGTATTCCATAATACAGCAAGCATTTTTATGAGTAACTCCTTCTAAAAATTTGTACTATAATTTGTTTAGATGATGCCAAAAAAAAGTCAAACATTCAATTGATAATAGTCGTCATTTTTGACTTTTTTCTGATCCGAAAACGACTCAAAAAACAAAATTATAAAAAAAAACAAAATTATAAAAAAAAACAAAATTTAATACATAAATAAAATAAATAGAAAGAAATTAAAATTCGTCATCACTTGGAGGTTTGACGTTTCCAGACAAGTTTGATATATCCACGTTAAGTTCATTAGAGTTCAAACTTATATTTGCCTGTGAATCAAGTTTCTTCACTCTTCTGCTTGTTCTCCTGTTGTTTGTCGACTTTGCAGAGTGTCCGCTGTCTCCCTCGTAGAAATTAGGCATTTCTCCGTCGTCGTCGTTGAGATCTATTTCGTTCATTGATCCTTTTATCTTCTTCTTTTTGTCAGATGGAGTGAACAAATTCTCATCCAATTCGAATTGTCCTGTTGGCGGTGCTGCATCGAACATCTCGTCATCGCTTGAGTTGTTTTCTTTGTCCGCCATCATTTCATCGACCATTTGTTTGATGTCGAACGGAGATGCAGAAATTTCTTCTTCATCTTCTTCGAAACTTTGGTCTTTCGCTGGTTTCTGTGGTTCTTCGAACGGGGCAGCACTTGATTCTATGACATCTGTCTGTTCTCCGCCTTCTCCGACCTGTCTTCTCCTTAATTCGTATGCGATGTACTGCAAAGGTAGTTCGTTCTCGTCGCCTTCGATGAAACGCTTTCGCATTGACGGAGCCAAGTATTTTTCTTGTTCTCCGATGTCAATTTTCTTGTATGTATCTGGCAATTTGTTTCCATTGGCGTAATCATCGTCCAAATAAGGCAGCATCAACTGGAATTCTTCGACAATGCCACTGTGGTTCCTCAATGTCTCAGGAGGAAGGAATTTTACGATATCTTCCACTCTTCTCTCAATTAACTTCTCCAATTCAGGAACAATGTCGAAAGGAAGGTCCGTAAACTCTCCAACTTTCGCTCTGTGCATGTCAACAGCCCTGGAAAGCCTCATTTGGGAGTAAATTAATTCTCTCTCTGCGACATCTTTGACGTAGACCTTCGCAGTGCGGATAATTCGCTTTGCATCGTTGATAGGGAACTGCTGTCTGGTCAAATTCTCGTTCTTTTCACAGCAAGAAACAAAATCTGAAACTAATGTAATTGTTGTGATCCTGCTGCCATCGATATCAACATTCTTGAGCTCGTTATCGAAGTTGAGGAGCTCGATAACTGCTTGGACACCGAAATCTCCGATTTTGTTGTTTCTGATATCCAATTGTCGCAAAGCGCACAGTTTCGAGGCCGGCCTTATCAATGGAGAAATTCTATCGGCAAGTTTCTCGGCGATTTTCGTTTCTTTGCCTTTAACTCCGCCTGCCATCAAATTATGAGCTTCGTTGACGAAAGGAATGACGTAAGCACCGAAGAACTTTGTGTATTGGAAGAACTTCTCGTCGTATTTGTTCTTTTCGGCGATCTGAATCAAAAGAGGAAGCAATCTTTTTATCATTTCAAGTTTTCCGGTCGGATATTTGAATAAATCGGCCTCTGCGTCTAAGGTGCCCTTCCTTATCAAGTAAGGAATGACCAATTCGCCAACTCTCTCTTTTAATTCGTCTACATCGTTGATTCCTTCTGGAGAACAGATTTTCGTGGTCAAAAACGCTTCAAAGATATCAGTAATTGCATCTTTGAACTGGTTGAGTGGAGGAATTGTCTCTCTGGCCGGATAACCGCCGATATAAGAACGAATTTCGAAAGATAAGCCGACAGCAAACAAAAATGGCAATAATTTGACTCCCAATGACTTGTTTTGACCACCCCCGATATGGAGAACCTCTAAATTCCTGATTCTCAAGATATCTGGCAATTCATATTCAATTCCTGCCATTGAAGCATCGAAATTGTCACTTAGAGACAATTCCCTTAAATTAGGCATCCTTGTGAACAATGCTGTCAACAATTGCAAGTCAGAAACATGCATATAATTTGTATCCATCGAAATCTTCTTCCACATTGACAATTCACCATTAAGGAAGCCTTTTACGACAGCTATCAAAGCAGATCCGTTCAAATTCAGCTTGTTTATGATGATTGTTAACTGTAATAAAGAAGATCTGTTTGAAAGTAGGGTAATTATGTTTGCTACCTGTTCAGCGTTGAGTCCAGTGTTTGAAATATCCAATGTGCAGAGTGTATCTGAGTTTTCGATGATGTTACAAAGCAAATCATAAGATTGTTTGTCTAATTGGTCATTTGCAAGGTAAAGAGCTTTCAAAGGCATCGGATATTTATTGAGTAAAGCCAATATGGCCTTAACATTCAATTTAATGTCCGAAATATCGAAAGAAAGCAAAGATTGTTTTTTGGCCTCAGAAACAACCCTCAAATATTGTTCGAAACGCTGCAAACTGACATCAAGGACCTCTGATCCGGCGATGTGGAGGTATTTAACACCCCAGGATGGAGGATTATTGGCTAATGCGGTGAATAACTCCAAAACATTGTAATCAATCATTCCGCAGTAGTTTAGATTGATGTACCAGATAGGATTCTTACGTTTATCGAACAATCGATTGAAGAAACCAACGAAATCGTTGAATTTGTTCCTTGAAAAATCGATATATTCAATTGGAGCATCAGGATTGCATTGGAGAGCCCTGGAAATGTGTTCCAAGCCTGTTGTAGCGCCGCAATCGGATAAATAAAGTAATCTAAGCGCTCTTGTTTTTCTCAAATGAAATGAAATGGCGAAAAACACATCTGGACGCTCGAAACGGCTGCAGACAATACCAAACATGTATGGTATGTATATTAATGCTCTAAAAATAGGAATTAATTCAGATCTTGTCATAGATTTTTCTGGCATGAATCTGAAAGGTAAATGGCCGATGTTAAAGATACCATTGTGGTTGATTACTTGATGGTGGAAGTATCTGACGACATCGTGGACGTATTTCTGTTTTTCATTTGAACAAAGCGCGAAATACGAAAACTGGAACATTTCTGATGGACTCAAGTCGGCATTGAAATGTGGGAAGAGCTCTGGATGGTCTGTTTCTGGATCAAGACGTAATTCTTCTGGTAACTCCATATAACGTAAAGCGTATGACGTAGAATGGGCTAAACAGAAGTTTCGTAATGTATGGTAAGCGAATTTGAGGACTTCATCGGCTTCGATTGTTACTTTTGGTTTGATTTTCTTTTTTGTTCTTGTATCGATCAAAGAAACAAGACGGATCATCAAGAAGCGAACGCTTTGATAGTTTGTGCCATAATACAGTTTTTTGATGTGCAAAACATGGAAAAAGCAAAGTCTAACGTACATTGTTGGTTTTGGTGGCGGAGCGCCCTTTTTTGTTGGCTGAGGAGCAACTTTTATTGTGTTTGGTTCTAATGCAATGAAGTAGTGAGGTGTAATAGCGATAATACACTTATGATGATTTCGTTTTTCAAAACGAACAACAGCACGTACTGCAAAACAAATATTTTGTCTGTTTGCACTGCCAAGTGGTGATAATTTGTTGATTTCTGCTCTTAATTCGTCCCATTCTTCTTTGGAAATTGGTTTTCTATAAATTTCATCAAGTAAATCTGGTGAGTGATTAGCTTTTGGGGCTAAGCAATCGATCTCTCCCCTATCATTAGTAGTCGCTGGAAGACAATAAAGTTCATCACTCATTTTTTCAAAAAAAAGTTGTTTTTTTATCAAAAATCAAAAAAGTGTCAATTTGATTTTTATAGCAAAATGTTTGCTATTTGAGGTATTTTAATTAAAGATATATAATTTGGTATACATATATATTTTAAATTATATGCTAATATTTAATACAATCGTGTAATATTCGATGGAAATTGTTAATTATAGAATTTCGAGTTTCTAATGTTTTCCGATCTAAGGTAAAAGTACTTGTAAATGTATTCAAAAAAAAAAAAAAAGGTAGTGGGGCTTCCAGGCGCGTTGCGCCCTCTAGCCCTGAAGATGTTTAGTATAAATGAAGTTTATATTCGGAGGGCTTCCAGGCGCGTTGCGCCTTCTAGCCCCTAAGAAATTTTGCCCAAGACCCAAGAGGAGGACCGAACCCCAGCCGACCAGCCGGTGACAAAACCAAAACCGTTGTTATTTACATCATATTAATGATGTCACTTTTAAAAATGTCACTTTTTGTTTCACTTTTCACAAATTATATATGTTTTCATGCTTTGTCACTTTTCTGTCACTTTTCGGGTAAAAACATTTTTATTATTATATATAAATGAATTTTACAAAACCACCGTTACCATTCTTTGGAAATAAGAGTAGATGTAAAGATATTATATTGAGAGAACTTAAGAAACTACCGAATGGTCTAACATTTGTAGATTTGTTCGGTGGAAGTTTCTATATATCCCATTTATGTCATACAATATTCCCAGACTCAAAGATTATATGCAATGACTTCGACAACTATATGGACCGTCTCAAACATATTCCAGACACAAACAACATATTGAAAGAGTTAAAAGAAAAGATACCTATAGGTAAGATGGAACGTATACCATTAGATAAGAAAAATATTGTGAGAGAGGTTTTGAAAAAAGCAGAATATATTGACTGGGATAGTATATCTGCTAGACTATTATATAGTGGTTCTATAAGAGTTCATGACATTGAAACACTTATGTCAAAAGTTTTATATCTTAACTATACAAATGTTTTCAAAGAGGACATAGAAAAATATATTGAGGGTATAGAGTTTGTGAGATGTCATTGGACAGAGTTGTATGAAAAATATAAAGACAAGGAAAATGTTTTCTTATAGTGGACCCGCCGTTCTTTAACACATGGGATTTTCAATACCAAGTAGACTGGACTTTGAGAGACTCTTTAGAAACTTTAGACGTTTTACATAACCATCCATGCTTTTACTTTACATCCGATAAAAGTGGTTTGGAAACCGTTATGAGATGGTTAGAGGACATACATGACTATGAGTTTAGATATGACAAGATAGAATATGAGAGAGGTCCTATAAACTGGAGAAAGTGTCACAATAAAGAAATTTTATTAGTAAGTAAATGTGGTTTGAAATAGGACTACTTGTTTTAGGTTTTTTCCATTGTGTCATTTATTTATTTGACGTGGCAGAAAAGTACAGAGAATATGAAGATGAACCAATGCCTGCAAATGTTCAGTATATGTACTCGTAAGAGATATTTTTATCTAATATTAAATGGACGCACAGAACTTAGCGAATGCACAGCAACCTGGACAACCAAACCCAGAGAATATTCCAAATGAAGTTAGAATACAAACTGCAATGGCAAACTATGGTCAAGTGCCAACAGATGTACAAATGCAAACTGCCATGTCAAATGACGCCGCGTTAGGTTTGCCACCATGGTATGCAAATATGAGATGGAAGAGTTTTATACAAACCCTGAAGTGGGATATAAACAACTTTGCAGATGACGCGAACACAGGAGTTGACCCAGAATATGTTTTCTACCAGAGGAGAAACAGAATGTATGAGCTCCAGTTAAAGAATGCTATGGAACTCAGAAGGAAACGTAAAAGACTAGGCGGACATTAGATTTTTACACGTAGTAAATGGGTTTCTTCAGTAGTATTGGAAACTTCTTCAGAAGAGTTGGAAGAGGTTATGGAATGGAATAAAATCTGTCGGAAAAGGAATTTGGAACGGAGTCAAAAATATTGGTAAAAGAGTAGGTCAGTTCGTTGGTATTATACCTAAAGACCCTGAACCAGAAGAACAAGCTCCTGTTATACAACAGCCTGAACCTGCACCACAGTCTAGTTGGCAACCAAATCCAACACCTCAACCGTATTAAAAAATTATATTTTTATCGTTCGATAGTAGTTGTATATGAAACTAAGTTCTAAGTAAAACGCATGGTATAATGGAATTATTCTTTTTCTTCCTCTGTAGTAAACCATACTTGAAAGTCTGAAATACTTCCACTTGGTGGTTCGTATAACTTTGTAGGTTTTTCGTAAAAGTCATTTGCCAAGCATAAAAAAGTTTTGGGCGCCAGAAAATGAAGCATGAACAATAATAGCATCTGGGTCGAAAATATTTCATATGTTCCATTAGGGTTTTCGACTTCATAATAGTCCGGGTGTACTGGATATGCTGCAGGCTGATTTAACATCCTCATAAATCTATACCATGCCAAGTGTTATATTTGTAGAAATATAAACGTTTTCTCCAAGGTCTTCTATTTTATTGATTTTAACAGTTGCATTTTTCCTGTCATAAATAATATCGAGATGGTATTCTCCTTCGTCAATGTTATACTGGTTTGCATATTCGATATAGATATCGTTTATTTTTTCTTGAAAAGCTTTGAAGAGTTGTTTCTAAGTTTACAAGCAAATTCACTTGTAAAAGTTTTCCCTGTTCAAATTTCTCATACATACGTTTTCTTTGTTATAGTATCGAACTTAAAACCGACCGTAAATGGGAAACCATGTATGGCTTCTGAAATGAACTTCATTCTACGAAAGCCAATAGCTTTTGTGACGGATGGGTCTCTTAACCATCTTAATGGGTAGTCAAAACGATAGCCTTCATGCTTTACGGTATCTGTCTCAAACTTTTGACCGACATTAGTAAAAAGTTCATCTAATGGTTTAGTTGTAGCAACTCTTGAATTTTCTTTTTTCTATTGGAAGCATATTTTATCTAGAATAAAAATGTCGAAAGATATTGCTTCCATGAGAGAAATACAACACAACGACAACTCATTATGCAAGCTCTAAATAAGAACACAACAAACTTTTCAAACTATTCTAAGATATCTGAGTCATTGAAAGAAGGAAACTTAAAACTGACATTAAACCCAATGACAGATGAGTTTCTATTTCAAGACAAGAAGAACAATACTGTCTGTATAAATCCAACAAAAGGAACTTTAAACGAGAAACCTATAAATGAACTTCTTTTGAAAGCAGATGTTGACAACAAAGCTGACAAAGAATATGTAGACGATGCAATAGCAAAAGAAGAAGAAAGAGCTAACAATGCTTATGCAACAAAAGAACATACTCATCCTGAACTAGCAGACAAAACATATGTTGACAATAAAATGTCAAGTGAAGTGACAAGAGCTGAAAACGAATATTCTAAAAAGACTCATATACATACCATTGCAAATATTACAAATTACAAGAAACATTAGAGACAAAAGCAAATAAGACTCATACACATACCATTGCAAATATTACAAACTTACAAGAAACCTTAAACAGTAAAAGTAACGTTGGACATACACATACCATTGCAAATATTACAAACTTACAAGAAACCTTAAACAGGAAAAGTGCCGTTGGACATACACATACAAGTTTACAACTTTTACAGCAGATGATATTACACTAAACACAACCTTGCCAAGTAAAGGTCCAACAATACCACCGGCAACAAGTCTTGTAGATACTTTGATATCTAATGACAATAGTATTATGCATCTAAGACAGGAACTCAATGTGCTTAAACAAATTTTGCCGAATCTTATTTACCCGGTGGCTCATTATATGTTTCAATGAACTCTACCAGACCAGAAGTAGTACTTGGTTTTGGAACTTGGACTCAAATAGTCGACAGGTTTTTGTATTGTGCAAACTCTTCAAAGGAAACAGGTGGAAGTAAAACGATTTCAGGTGAAAATTTACCTGCACACAGTCACTACATAGATTTAAGTACATCTCAAGCAGGTTGGCATAGTCATAGATATATTGGTTGGTCAGGAATGACAAAAGGTAAAGGATATGATGTTAAAGACGACGTTAAGTTTGCTATAAATGGTTACTGGAGTGACACTCAGGGAGAAGGAAACCATACACATTTCGTTTCAGGATATACACAAACAACGGGACAAAGTAAAGAATATATGCCACCTTACATGACAGTTTACGCATGGTATAGAATTGCTTAGTCGTCATTTTCAACTTCTTTAGCATATTCGTCAGGAGTTGTCTTATTTGTTAGGAACTGTCTTTGAAAGTATACCACCTTGAAACTTTGACAAGTTTGAAACGAGGTCTGGCAATAGTAGTTTTATCTTCTGCTTGCAGTGTGTACATTTTGCCAATGTTTGCCTAAAACTTCATAATATTCTCTTGTATACTTTCTTCTATTTTTACGAACACGAATGTGAGTACCTGTCGGGTTCCCATTGTTGTCATAGTCAATAGTATTTTCATATGGGTCGCGTTTAGGTATTTCTATTTTTACTTTGTCACCTTTCTGAAGTTTGAAGCCCGGCATTCTTTCTTGTTTGTCTCTTTGACTAAATTATTAAATATATAGTCTTTCTCTAAGTCAGGGTTGTTTTTTCTTCTTCGGGGGAGTGGTTTCCCAAACCTTTTTGTTTACGGTTATTGTAAATATTTAAAACTTGTCTCATCTTTGCCATGGAGAAGTGTCTATACTTGTCGTCATATGACATTTCATTTGCTTCACCACCTTGTGGTTGGTTTAAGTCTCTTAACATTTTTATACAACCGTCAATGACACCAAGAGCAGAATGGTTTTGGTCGACAATGAAATATTGGTTTACATTTTTTGAACGCAGATAGTTTTTTACATCATCTGATTTGAAAGAACTTTCACAGTCAGATGTCAGTTTTGTTGGATGGTATTTGTCAACGAATATTGTCAAAGCAGTTTTCACATCTAA